AAAATGTGTAATTTAAAACCTTGTGTACTTAAAGTTTGGAAGATCATCGTCATTTCAAGAGAGTAAGTAACACCGAGAAAAACTCACCGCATCGTCTCTTGCACTCATATCTATTTACTAACATCCTAAACTGACGGATTCTTTCAATGGGAAAGAAATGCATAAAATATTTAAGGATTGCTGTAAACCTAGAAAGTGAAATCATCATCCTTCTACTTCACCCGAGCATATCCAAGATATTAATAATATCAGTGTTACATCGGTGTTTATTGCATACCCAAATTGGTTGTTACCCTTTCGTCGTAGATATCATTGAACCGCACAATGAGCGGAAGAGTGTCGAATGTGTAGAGGGCGATTTTCTGCGTACGGTGCTATGGCCTTTACTGGGAAATGGATAATCGAAATCTCTCTGATTACTTAAACCTTGTAAGTCCAAGCCAAATAGATGCGTAAGCAATGCAGACAGTTCAGTGTACTATCTACACGGACCGGAATCATAACTTCTTGTTGGCAGCAGCAGGGGTATTATTTTATTACTAAACCGACTTTCACCCTCACCAACCAAACCACTACTGCGTACGTATGAACGTACGTATATGCTATCTATATTAATACAGCATTAAGGATAAGGTTGCCAGCAATCTACGCATTACTTGACTTTCGGTTTTTACCGTGGTGGTGATGATACTGCATTGTCTTCCGGGAGCAATATTTCCAGGCCAAGGCTGCTCATCTTTCCTCTCACGATCACAAACTTACGCTTTACTTACGCACAATAATAAGAGGTAATCTCATCTTCACAACTAAGTGAACTGGGTTACACAGTCTATAAAAGTGTGAAAAAGCGTGTAGTAATCCAAGGAGATTTTCACTGAGTGAGGAGATGCTTCCCCTGTTTTCGGAGGAATTGCATGGGTTTAGATCAGAGATTATTATTCTTCTCGCTCAGACCTCTGTAGATCTTGTACCGATATGTGCACCCAGTGCGGTTTGGCAAAAGTAAATAAGTATTGGGAAATTATTGAAATGCGTTAATGTTCCCGACACAGAAATCACTGGTCATTTTATAAATAGCAGTACAAGTCTGGAAAAAGAAACGTGATCAAAGCATCCGCCAGCAAAAATTGGCCTCGTCCAAATATTTGCAACCCTGTCTGTTTTGCAGCCACCACAATAATAATAAAAATTAGATTATATCTATCGGACTTGGCCCCAGCCTAGATCTTTATCCGAAATTCTAGGTCTCTGTGCTTCAAATTGGGTTCTACTTATATGTATCTGCCACCAATATATGTATGCTATTCATTCCTCGGATTGTATGGTTATTCGCCATCACATGTCGTATTCCGACCTTGTTAGCGCAAAGAAGAAGGGGTTGTGTGACGACAATGATATGGGTGACAAACAAACCCAACTGCTTAAACTTGGCGACGCGAGACGAGGAGAAAGTAGAGACGTCGACTAAGTGAACTGGAATTCACAACCACATATCCGCCGATCTCATGCAATGTCAAGTGTCACCCACCGTCGTCTTCCTATTATTATGGATCAGGGCAATTTTATCTGTGTCAGTGCCATAGTTCTATAGTTCAAGTGTACACGTTTCAACTATGCCCTTTGGATAGCATGCGAGGTCGTGATTTCAAATACAGAAGGTATCTGTACATATGTATGTCTGCTGGAAATGCGTGTGCGTGCGTGGGACTATTGTTGGCAGCTTTAGAAAACAAGAAGAATGCCCGCATCTTGTAAATTTTAGTTCACAGTTTGCATAAACGGGTGCCAACAAGGAATAATAAATCGATCACGGTTCGATTCGTAGAATAAAAAAGTAGGGCTGCCTTGAGTTATGGGGAAAAATGTGGAATTATTTGTTTATTTGTTTTGAACAAGTTTTTTTTTTACTGATAACTGGAAGTTTTATCAGGCAATAATATGTATGCAACCCCATTAAAACTCGCAACAACAGAATTGGTAGAATTTGGAATTCTTTTTATTTACGTCCTCCATAAAGAAACGGTTAAAAAGTATCTAAATGCACATACTTATCTATCTCGACTGGATTTTAGTTACATTCTTTTCATCATATGAATGCTCGTCGGTATTAGAAAATACCATCCCAAACAATAAAAGATCAATTCAACTGCAGCTACACAAGATGCAAACGTTGTATTCGAGTTTCAATTTATTTTTGAGTCAGGCATCCCACAAATTTCTGCCTTGCATCGTTTCCCACAAAATTCTTTTCATCTTCTTGGGCCTTCTGTTATTTTAGGTAGACTGGATACATCCATGCGGCAGTCAGTGGTTGCGATTTTCGGTCGAGTTGGCCAATATTTCACGGCAAATTTCATTGTTGAGAGTTTGCCAATGGTGGATATGCATGTACATTTAAGCTCTTTCATGTTTGTATGTATGTCAAATATAAAGTGAGACTTGGTGTCCCTTGCCAGGAAGGAAGCTAAGCTAGATAACTATAAAACAATACAAATCTCAACTGAAGGATGTATGAACAACGGACTGGAAAAGGGCATCTGCACAATAAACTTATTGCCAGACATACACGCAATAAGTTCTTATCATCACTTAGGCCATCGCCCCCATCACTCTCGGACTTGTTGGGTGTAACCAAAAACATGGACAAAAGGTATATAGGATAAAGTGGAAAAGAAGTAAAGTTTCCTCTAAAAATGGTGAATTTATTGCTGAAGATGCGATGAAAAGTGCATAATCTGCATTTGCTCACAATAATGCTCAAACTTATGTATGTACTTTTGGACGGGAAAGGAGAAAACCCACCCCAATTATTATTACACAGTCCAAGTTATTTAGAATGCAGTAAGTAAAGTTTCGAAATTTGTTGCAGAATAAATTTTTACCCTTCAGCTCAATCCTGATTTTGAAGATGAATTAGTTTTGGTGGAAACCAATCCAAAAAACTTATAACTTGTGTATACACAGAGATTTTGGCACAATGACAAGACAGAAGCCAATTCGTATATGAAAATGGAGATGCTTTTTGTGTTGTGTGCTCTTCTATTACCTCCCGAATTCTTGTTCTCATGCAAAGAAAACATTACACAACAAACAGCAGCCGAGCAGTGAGAATATGTACTTATGTTCGTAGCATTAGTTGACTTTGACTACTATCAAATTTACGCCACCAACCAGTATCCGATTTTTTTGCGTCGAGTTTTGTTTTGAAATCATGCTCTCGCTTCTTTGCCATCCGAGCGAAAAATAGTGTCGGTGATCAATGACCGACCTGGATTCTTTTAAATTGAGAGCAAACCTCCAAATTGAGAGTATAACTCTTATTGACAAATATGTATTATTCGTTTTGTATTGTTTTGTCTTTACGTTTTACATTGCCAACCACAGTCTGGCAATAAATAAATAAATAAATAAATAAATAAAGGCACATATTTGTCTTTGATCAATTTAAAATAGCTCACAAACCTAAAAATATAGTTGACATTGTTTGCTTTTCAATCAAGAACGGAAGGAAGTATATAGAAATCAGGGGAATGTGGGTTATTCTTGGTCGGGGAAATTGAGACGACGCGTGTTACCGGCTGAGGTATTTCTCATACTTATCATCGTTTAACCCTTTGACATTCAAAATCGTTATTCCATGTATTTATGTACCCTTTGCGATAATACATATTTGTATGTGCGAGCAATACTAATCTAATGTTTTGTCCCTTTATCTTCCTCGTGCTTTGTTTAGCTTACTCGCCACTTTATCAAATTCGGTAGAATGCATCCGGTCTAAGAGATGAGATCAAATCACATCATGCACTTATGTACCAGGGCGGCCAGCTCTGATAATATTCGGTCTTCTTCTTCTACCCTTATGAGGTAAAATATATGAGGGAATTGGCCCAGAAACGAGAGAAAGACAGAGATGACAGTTATTACATATCTCTTCAATGGAGGATAGGACAACCAGACTTCCTGTATTTCCGACACTCCGACTAACCAACCACCCACCTACACACCTACTGAAGGAGATATGTGTGTATGTACACATGTGTAAGGATAAGCTATGTAGCTCGATATCTCCAGCAGCACCAAACTGCATACAAGTATCTACTACATACTACATTCCAGACCGAAACGTTAGGAATTTAGGTAAGTTTTTATACAGCGGATAACTTCTTGTGTATTATGTGTAGTGTGTATCTAACCCCGTTTACGGGCTTGCTTGGTTGGTTGGTTACATCATTTTTCTCATTTAGTTGAGAGGACGACCCAACTTGGACACTAAACTGCGGGGCAATGTAAACTCTCCAATAGAACAGATAATGTTTGTTCCCTCTTCCTTTCTTATCCAGGATCTAGATCGAGTTCAATTTCTGACTCAGTAAAAATGTCCTGGCTGGCGGAATAGATGAGGCAAAGTGGTAGCAGGGGAACAAACGTAGTAGAAATCGAATCCCCTCTCCTTCTTGGTCCGCTGAATTCATCGATATGGCATAATTTTGGTTTCTTGAGAACAAACCAGAAGCTAAAACATTAAAAAGATCTGCAGAAGACCAGACGACGACGAGACGGTTCGAGAACGAGACTACCTCTCTTCTCAAGGAAAGGTACATATACACAAATGCACTGGATGCAGATGGAGAAACAGAGTCGTGAATAATATTTATGTGCTGATGTTCCATGCGTAGTTTTTCATAGTTGGGAAAAATCACAAGGAAAAGTTGGATATTTTACGATGAGATGGTGCATCCACTCAAGTTATTGCATAATTACTTTTAAAATAGATAGAAACGTGTCATTCATGCAGTATTATTATGCAGTTTTGTTTGATGATAAGGAATGAATAAAACATTTAGCCAAGAAAATGCACGAATTTTGTAATATTGAAATTCGTTCGGCAACCCTTCATCCGAGGCACGAAGTGAAAGAGTGGCAAAGTCTGCATTATTGGCAGGAGGATATAACACAGGAGACACTACTGTCTGGAGAAAAGCGAAGAAAGTTGGACTTACGTAGGATATCATGGGTAGATTCCAAGCGCTGCTGACAAGAGCTTCACTTTGACAAGTGTCTTCCGGTCCACCGATGAACGCAATGGCACCGCGGTCTCTCATCTCGGTCATCATCCGGATCGGCAGAGATGTTGCGATCAACTCGGAACTGCATGTATGCAAAGAGAAAATCAAATTTTGTGGCGGATTGATTGGATGGAAAAGTAATTGTGCCGCTGAATGCAATAGTACGACAAACTGCATCGAGGGACTTCGTATAATTGCATCTGCATACATGAAAGTCAGGTTGGGCAAGTTCATCATGGGGAAAATGAGACTTTAATCAAATTTTATCCGAAAACTCCACTACTTCGAAGTGAATTTAACTTTTTCCTTATCTTTAGAAAACTTGGCTTTGTCAGCATCCATGAAAGCCAACGAGGCAAAACAATTGACTTACTCTCCAATATCGGCAGCAATAAACTGCAACGTCCTGCCGGGGAGGATGCCTTCTTTGTTCACTTTCTCCACCGCGAGTCGCATTGCCCCCAAGCTGAACGGGTTTCTGCCATAGGGAGAAAAATTTTTATCGAAAAATGAGCGGAAATCGAACCAAACAGAAAGTTGTTTATGTTTTGGTTGGTTCGTGTACGTATTTACATTTCAAGTGTGAATATATATTTAATTAGTTGAACTTTGTGAAATTAGTCATTACATTATAATCGTGGTAGTGTAAAACTGGGCTAGACTTTAGTTAACCGACGGTCTCCGATGGGGTAATGTGATACGTCATTTTGATCGTCTCGGCGAGCTGAACAAGAATATCCAAGCGCGAAAGCGCGGAAACGCCCCGTTCAAAAGTTATGGCGGGTCAAAGTTTGAAATTTTTATTGCATTTTTGGACGTTTCAAAGAATTCTAAGACTTTGTCTCACTTTTCCCCGTGGCGGGAAATTTTTTGGGGCGAAATGAGATTCTTGGGGTAACGTGAGATTTCAAATTTTTATTGTAGAACATTGAATTAAAACCATTTTCCGTCATGGCGGGAACTTTTTGGAGTGAAATGAGATTTTTGGGGTATCGTGAGATTTGTGTTTATTGCGGGGAGGGGCTCATCCAACGCGTTTACGCCCATTATAAAGCCTAGAAAGTGGGAAAGCGGGGGACCCGCACTTTTAGACCGCGAGCGAAGCGAGCCTAGAACGCGCGAAAGCTGGGGCCCCGCACTGTTAGTAACTAAGTATGCCCAATATTGGGGTATTGTTCGTATTTTAGCGAGCGAAGCGAGCAGGTTAGGTTAGGTAAACTAGGTAGGCGGAAAGCGTGGAATTTTTACCTAGTAGTGCTACCTAGGAGAGCTAGGTAGTAGTGCTACCTAGGAGAGCTAGGTAGTAGTGCTACCTAGGAGAGCTAGGTAGTAGTGCTACCTAGGAGAGCTAGGTAGTAGTGCTACCTAGGAGAGCTAGGTAGTAGTGCTACCTAGGAGAGCTAGGTAGTAGTGTTACCTAGGAGAGGTAGTAGTGCTACCTAGGAGAGCTAGGTAGTAGTGCTACCTAGGAGAGCTAGCTAGTAGTACTACCTAGGAGAGGTGCTACCTCGGTAACGCAAATCCCACGGTACCCCAAAAATCTCATTTCACTCCAAGAAGTTCCCGCCATGACGGAAAATGGTTTTAATTCAATATTCTACAATAAAAACTTGAAATCTCACGTTACCCCAAGAATCTCATTTCACCCCAAAAAATTTCCCGCCATGGGGAAAAGTGAGACAAAGTCTTAGAATTCTTTGAAACGTCCAAAAATGCAATAAAAATTTCAAACTTTGACCCGCCATAACTTTTGAACGGGGCGTTTCCGCGCTTTCGCGCTTGGATATTCTTGTTCAGCTCGCCGAGACGAACAAAATGACGTATCACATTACCCCATCGGAGACCGTCGGTTAACTAAAATTTTTCCTAATAATGAATGACATTATTGCAGGTTATATCAAACTCGACCACTCCAATTCGACGTTTCGAAGAAAGCATTTTGCTGCCATTTTCCGAAGAAAGGTGTTTATGCAATAATGTGCACCAACCCCAATTGCCCTAACAAGTATGTTGGACCCATCTACATTGGTCAAGGTGGAGAAGGGAAAGCAACAATACAGTCTAGGATGGACGGTCATATTCGTCGATTTGATAGCCCGGATGCTGCGGGAATCGATGGTCACTTTGTTGGTGCATGCAAAACATTCATGCGTTTTGTGTTTATGAAACAAATCAGTGATTTACAAAATCGCAAAAGTATATCTAGTAAATTCTTTGCATATATGATCTCAATCAATCCTTCGACTAATTAATTTGATGTTTTTCATGTACAGTAAAAGAGACGCAGTACATGCATAGGTTCGGGACATTAGATCGACTAAGGGGAATGAATGGGCATGTCAGTGTCTCCTCATTGCCATCTCAAACTATTGCAGCAGAACGTGGAGAATGTGTTTCGGTTCGACAGACTCATAAGCTAGTGATGTCACGAAAAAACCGGAAGGGTACACAAAAGTATGTAATATTATCTATTTTCTTTTTAATTATCAATGAATAAATCCTTTGAACTTTTGCAGAGTTCCAACTGTACACTTTCAGACACTAGTTGCTGCATGTATAAAGGCAAATGATCTAACGTCAGTTACCATTATTGATATAGTTGACTTTATTCAGACCAATTATCCTCACTACTATTCAAAATCAACAAACGTGCAGAACTCATTTTCTAATCGTCTGAGAGAGAATATCAATGGAAGAGTGAAAGAGACGAGTTCCTACTATTCGAATTGGTTCGATTCGTTGGAAAAAGACAAGGATTGTAAGAAACCTTCGAGATATGTATTGAAGAACGACAACTTTGATGAAAAAATATACGAAGAGGGATTAAAGGCTCTGGATGATTTTGAAAAATCAGAACAAGAAAGGGACTCAGCATCATCATCTACAACACCCTCACCTAGACCTGTCCGACCAACTTATGTTGCTGACAGCGATCCTGACTCAGACTGATTGCCATTTTAAATACCTAATACCTTACAAACATGATGAAACCTAATTTTAGTTCTTATGATGTCATTATGTCTGATTTGTAAGTGCTTGATAACATTTGATTTGTATATATGAATTAAAGTTCTGTATTATTAAATTACTTACCTGACATACGGGGACAAGAAACCGATGGTGATTGTTTCGTTGAAGCTGTGCGCCCCGGAGAAAGTCAGGTACTCGTAGAGGGTGGAATACTTTTCAATCTTGGTCTGTGGATCGTCTTCCTCCTGTCACAAGTACATACGTCATTTAGTTGCAAATAGATTTTCTCCCCTACAAAGTAAGCACGTAGAAACAACAATGACGAGATGGACACCAATTATCCTCCGAGGTCAGAATAACCTCTCAACGAACGAACAACAAAGTAAAACAACGCAGGGCGTACAATAAAAGTTAAAAATTTGGGTTACAGAAGCACTCACTGACAAAAAACACTAAACTCCACATCTCACTTCTTCCCTTTCTCTGGGGACATTAAAGGAAAAGCAACATCAATAGAACACTAATTCCAATTTTCAACAACTCCCTTGATGTATGTGCGTTTTTCTATCCTATGATTCGGGTGGGGGGATAAAAATAGGTATTTATGAGGTCTTTCCATAAATGTAAGATTTTTTTGCTTTTTGACACACAAATGTAACTATACGTATGTACGTATTTATGTATGTGGGATGTGATAGACTATAGGTAAGTGAGGGAGATATGGGTATTTTGCCTCCATCATTAGGCAGTTCATGTCAAGAGCAGAAGGAAAACAAGGCTACGAGCGTTTTATAGAGTGTGGGAGTTGACTTCTCATTTCTGCCAAAGGGTCCCCAGGACAGTTGACACCAATTCGGCCGAGCAAAGTACATACCTCAAATGGCAAACGGTAAAGGAGAAAAGCTGACGACTGCTTTCACTCAGGGTAAAAATGGATCAAATTCATTCCACTTTATCTCATGAAATACAGAATTAAATTGACACCGGGACAGGAAGGAGTCGCAAATATATGCATAGATCACGGCCCATTCGAACTGACACTTTCTATCAAATATAATGAAACGAGGGTAAATAGCTGTCATTAAATATCGCTGTCTGCCCGCATTTCTCATTTACATGCGGTTTGCTAGAGCTGTCTATATAGCTAATTTCGTTCTCAGGAGTAAATTAAATTCCGCGTCTATCAAAGTATAGTTGAATTTATTGAATAAGCTTATTACGCAACTTACTCCCCATTTGCACTTGTAGTCCGTATGCCGATAGGTAAAGTTGGACATTGCACTCCTCTCCATGCGGGACACACCCCGACGCCAATTCTTCTCCACGGTCTCCTCGCTGATGAGCCTCCTTTGTTTGGGCGATAGACTAATTTGACTAAGCAGCTTGGTCTGAGATTTGGTAAGATTTTGACTTGATGATGAGCTGATCACACCTTTTGATGATTCAAAAGCTCGATATCGTTTCGGATATTGGCTCGATAATTTTGGCTCGAGGCTGTGATGACGATGTGAATTTTGGGAAGATTGCATTTTGAGCTGGATAGCTGGATTTTTGTCGGATATTCCTCCATCCCGAAGCTCGATTACTTCTCCGTATTTGTATTTCCGGGCCATATCAGTTTCCTCAGACTTCCTACTTGATTGTACATTATGTGGGACTGGTGGGGATGATGAGAGAGGTGGAGTTGGGTTATTATGCGAGTCAGAAGAAATCACAGCAGAGGTTGACGACGACGTTGCGACGATAAAAAAGATGATAAATGCCAATATCTTATACTTTTGAGATTCTCGGAGAATATTTGATCCGGAGGAGGAGGCCACTGCCCTGACAAGGACAGGCTTCATCATGATCTGCACAAAATTAATCATGTAACACATCACATATTATGGAAAGGCATTCCTCCACCACTTCCCTGTCTACAAAGTTTGTTACGCAATGTTCAAAACTTATTATTATTAGGATGAAAATGATGCTTTCGTCTCAGAGTAAAGTCGCCGGAATAGAAATATGTATGTAAAAGGGATGCGAATAAGGTTCCAGTCACTCGAAGAATATGAGATTAAACTCTTCACTAGTAGTGAAAGCTCATTCAGAGAGGAGATCCGACAAGTAACTTCTTCTCACAACTCCCACATTTCTCTCCTCTCTTTCTCTATCGACTATGTACCACTTTAGCCGGAAGTTTGCCATCCGACGACGAACTAGCTGACACCACAAACCATAAAACTAACTAGCCATTGTCATTTCAATTTATTTCGGTTCAGTTTGTGTTATACTTGATAAGGTAGCTCAATAAGATTGCAAGTTTGGATGGCTGCTGGCTGGCCTCAATAAAGTTGGCCTTATTATTATTGAAATCTCTTATTGATGAAGGAACTTATCAACTGAACAGCACATCCCAACCACCAAAATGACAAGTCTCAACGCTCAAGTGAAGTTACAACTTCAGGTGTTCGTCCTCAAATCCACGAGAGCCTACTGTACCTACTTTATCGTCTCAATGAAATATCTTCTGCACAAAGACTAAAGTTAAATTTAGCAAGTTACATATGCATTATTATTAGCATTTTAGCAATGCCTAAAAGAATTGCGAACTTGGACGCAACAAGCAACGTCCTTCCCCGAAGGGGTAACCTAAATAAAATATTTTTGCAATGTCAAATCTGCATGCCACTTTGAACACTTGAGTAATTTATGATCATGCGAGATGATGCCACCAAATCAATTAATGAATTACGACGAGTGGTGGTTTGATTCCTAAATTACTGTTCGTACATAGTGCTGTATTATTATTTTATTATATGACGTATGTAGATACTTGGTATGCAAGTGACATGAGCAAATGGTGGTAATAATCTTAATTTATTCCGTAATGGCAAACATTTATGAGATTTTGTCTCACCTTATCTCATCCGTTGATCAAGTACAAGTACAAGTTGAGATTTGTGCGATGATACTGGATCTTGTAATTCACATTCTTTGCATCTATGTACCTATGTTAATTCTGGTCTTCTCGGAACCATAAAATGTCACTTTTTCTCAATCACTCTTATAAATCAGTAGATTGGATTGGGTGATACGGATGACTTGGGGTGTTTTATTGGTAACCCAAAAATTCTCAGCTAAGAGTTTGATGTTCGAATAAATAAATAAATTCACATTTTGATTTTGCATGCACTAAATGGAAAACTAATGTTTACTTAATTTTCCTATCTGTATCTATTTTGTACTCGAGTCTCAACTTTGGCACTGCTGAGTGAGAGGCTCTGCTTTTTTTACTAATAAAAACAGTTTTTCGTCTCAACTTGGTCGTCTCTAGAGGAAAGGAATGATGAGATGAGATACGAAATGACAGCACAAGTCAATGAGTGACGTGATTAATAAATTGTGTCGACACAAAAGGGGTCGATTGCCAAAATAAGTTTTAGTAATGAGTTTACCAAATATTTTTTTCGAAATACTTGAAAAATTTAAGTAGGGCGATGCGCAACAGGTGACGGGGCCAATTTGAGACGATCTTAATTAGAATTTGTCAACGTCAAATTGGTGAAAACTGAGGAGACAAATGCCGGATATGATAAGTTGCTGCGATTACGTAACAGCAGTTTTATCTTGAGACGACTTTGATCTCATTTATTGAAGAAACTACTGTACTAATTTCGCGACCCTTGGGAAAACAAGATTTTGTCAAAGACAAATGTCGGCTGTAAAATGGAAGCAAGTCGAGAAACGTGAGACGACGACGAGAACACGAAAGTAAATGGACAGCTTTAAATAAATATTGAAATTGGTTTGTCAAAGAGTTGAGCTCCGTAGTGGAAGTGCTAGTTGTCAGCAGAGCGTATCCTGGGACGTGAGATACACGACTGAAATGATACTTGCAAAGAGATTTCGCTTTTACCAGCAAGCAAACCACCCGATACCCGGGTAGTAGCAGCAACGGCAAGTAAGTGTATTAGAAGTATTCTAATACAGTGTATGCTTCTCTTTCCTGTCGAAATTTGTGTAGCTGCTACTACATTTATCGAAAATTATATAAGATTCCATCCATGTTTCGTTAGTGAATTTCCCTAATGCGAACCATATTTCGTCACTTTTTTGCAGGGTAAAGCCCGTTTAATTAGTGGCTCGTTCAACTTGTTGAGGTCTGAAGGGCAAAAAATATGGAAATAACGGGAGATGAGCACGAGCGAAAGAGAAAAGTGGGTGTTAAAATTGATGCAATTAAAGTAAATGAGGTGTAAGGTAAATGAACCTGAATTTGCTTATCCTTGATTTATAGCTATTGAATAGAGAAAGTAACTTTGAGAGAAAATCTAAACTAACCAGGAAATGGATAAAATTGGGAGTTTTTTTACCGAAAAAGTAAGATTCAATGAGCTAACAAGTCTACGATATTATAAAGCACCAGATAATTTAAGTTTATTATTGCGTAATCCTCTTCGTGCTTCTTTTTCGGCAATAAGACTGCCATTAAAAAATTAATATCGTATTATTATGTAGTTATAACGCATCAAATTGGAAAGCAACCATAAATTAGAGATCTAGTATATTCTATTATACATATACATAGGAATTAATTAATAGGCTAAAACAATAAATTGTCGATTCTTTCCTTGCAAAAATTATTGTGAGTTACAAAATTTATTTACAATTGAAATGTCAAGATTCCAAAAACATGATTACGACAGGACTCAATAAGATAAATATTGAAACTTGATGTTTCAGTTTTTTGCATGCTTATTTATATATTATGTTTAAATACCCCCCATAAGAAAAACAAGTTGTTTCGTGCATCCTCGTTCAATTTTGGACTTGCTTAGGCTGGCAATTGTAGTTTCTTGCCCTTCAACACTGAAATTTTAAATACAAATTATTAATAAATGCTTTGCATAATAGATTATATTATTTACATAACAATAGGTTCAATTTTGATTGGTAAATAGTTTAATAGCTTCCGAGAAATACATCATCCGTGATCCAGTTTGAAAATGCCAATTTTTTTATACATAATCTATTACTTACTATGCACGTAAATGCGGTGTAAATGTTTACCATTTTGTGCATTTTTATGCTTCTGTAAATTAAGTTCGGACATGACGAAAAACGTAAAATGTACAGGAATTTTTTAAAGGCTTATGAATTAAAAGTGGTGAGTGTGACAAAGCAAAACAAAATTCATCGACATGCAAATAGTGCACATACAAAACAGACAGCAAAAAGATTAGATCACGTAACAAATTGATATTATTTCTTCACGGATCACGAATTACACATTTAAAATGAGTTTTCCTTTACCTTTGGTAACATAAAGATAGAAGAAATCACAATAGAGAACCGTTTGTACAATGCCAGCAAAGATCGCGATGAGGTCGTAATAAGATTCGTCGATATAGCGGTAGATCCAGTTCAAGATGTAAAGTCCTAAGTACACGAAACGGAAAGCATTTTAGAATAGGTGATACATTACTCCAAAATCATATGCAAATGTCTACAAAAACTTACCTCGATAGGCCCCAAGAGCAAACAAATAATGACTCGTGATTGTTTCAGCTTCACCGGTTTTTGACACCATAAACAATTGCGGAAGAATTGCAACAGCTTCAAGGTAGATGCTCCATGTCCACAGCACCTGATAAATTGTTACCAAATCAGCTTTAGCAAATCTGGATTATATCAAATGAAATCGATTTATTCCGTTTATAAATTATCAGGCCCTTACTTCCATAAAGGAGAATTCGTGGTTCACAATGAGGGCCAGAAGGGTGACGGGAAGCAGGAGGAATTCGATCCTGTAAAATTATCCACATTAATAATCTAACATGGGTAAGTTCTAACAATACCTTCTAATTTTAATTATTGTAAGTAACCCACCTGAATGAATCGTGATTAGAATCGTACGTTGCCTTGAACTTGACATACATCAAATAGAGAGTGGCATAACTGGCCCCGATAAAGAAGACCTTCATCGTCGTGTTGTACACGCTCACAAAGTTCGTTACAAGATCCAAGTATCTGGCCGTGTACGTCAGAGCAAAAAGCAGTTGTGACTTTCCACTGATTCCTGCAAAGTTACCAATTGTTCCAAATTAACAGGACAAAAAATGGAATTAATGTAACATGTCAAAGCGTAAGAACTTACCCGAACAACTCCTCGTCTTCCATATCTTGAGGAGAAGTATTATAATCGCCATAAGATGGGAAAGATCCCCAGATAACCGGAAAATATTCATGATTGCTCAGTCAGCTGAAAGCAAATAACAACAAAACAAAATCAGCACATTGGATTTCGATAAGAGTACGATGTAACTATCTAGCTATTCGAATGACACTGTGACATCAAGCAACGCATGAAAATTAACCACAACTACGTACCATTTACCACCATTAACTAATTAAGTTTTTAAATTATCTCACCTGCTACACCTATCTCAAGTGTAATTCCAAACAGTTCTTCGACCCCAGTCGTATTTATCTACGGACGACCAACAGTGGTAACCTTACTAGAAGATAACCATTGAATTCAGGGAATTGGAGGGTTAACCTAAGTGGAATAGTTTGCCGGATTAACTGATTTATTAATTGTTGTTAGGGGCGACAGGATTGAATGAAGATCTGACGTGTCAATTTCCCACACATTCGGTTAAATCTCATTATGGGTTGACTACGACAGGTGGCGTGGAAGGGTGTTGGCAAGATTTTGGGCTTATTTGACACCAAACTCTCACCACTTTCACTGCTTTCTCCGGAAACATAGTTTTGTCTCATTTTGACACCATGCTTAAAAGCACGAGAGAAAGTTACTACAAGTTTTTAGCCTTTTTTTCAAAATTAAAAAGACGTGCTTACAAAATTTTATAAGAAATTTTGCAAAATATTTCCGACTGTACTACTTATCACGTCAATTTATGCAGAACTTGCAAAATTACTTGTACAGCATTATAGTTGCATTCATATATTCTAAGCAGATATCACTTTGCATTTATTTTCTAATTCGTTACGATTCCAAGTAGAACCTTTGTATGTGAAATGAGTGCAAATCACGCAAAAATGAGTCGAAAGAAGTCAAGTTGGAGTTATTGCACTAATTGAAATGCTGTTTTATTATTTCAATTCAAACTGGTCACCCCATCGGTCAGCTTGGCCACCTTATAGCTTCAGCATAGGTTTAGCTCTCTCATTCCGGATCAAATTCAAGTTTTTACCCATGTTTTATTTCATTGTCTGTTGATCTTTGCATACATTAATCTCAATCACATTCAGTCAAAAGTACACATATGTATGAGGACACCTCATAATAAATATATCAAGTTGTTAAGTTTATATTCCCCTCACATTCCTCCTCCAACTGTGCAGATTCCTCTCTCCTCTTCTCAAACTGCTTTACCTCAATCCAGTAAATTTAAACTTAAGGTGACAAATTATTAGTCGACAAAGAAAAGTTTTTATTATATTTAAACGTGACATATACGTGACACGTCTCATACCTTTGACGACATCTTGACACTTTACTTTATTTCATTGATTGAGAAACAGGTAGATGATGGTGGATTTGTTGAGTGTGCAAAAAATGAGGTAGGCCATAAATATTCTTATCTTTTGTGAATGATGTAAAAAGTTATTAGTTAGTCGAGAGATGAGAACTTGGGCTTCTCAGCTTTCCCAGGAAAGTTGCCGGACGGGGATCATTGAGTTGTTCTTTTGGATGAAATAGAAGAATTGGAATGTGCTCCATTCATTCAGCACGATGCGAGATCCACCATATTCCTTGCCACACCATTCGCTCCTTGCCATGCACCACCACGAGTTTGAATGAGGCAGCATGATCGAGAAGCAGACGGACGGGAGTGGCAGCCACATTTTTACATCCTCTCGTCCGCCATCAACTCCGCTCTCTCGTCGTGCTCGTGCCGGCGACGACGATAACTTTAAAATAATTCTGCAGGCCGCCTTATCGACGCCAGACAGGAGGTTATCAAGGACGTTATCAGCTCATTATTATCAAGGGTGAGAGGAATTTGCCTGCCTACTACGGACGACGGATAAGGATAAGGACGGGGAGGAAGTTGGACGAGGTAAGTCAACGGTCATTTTTGCTTGGATTTGAACCGTATTATTTTATTGGTTACGGGAAATTAGGCAATGCAGGAATTAAAGGTCTGGATTTGTTATGTGTAGATGGAAAAGTCCAGAATTTCTTTCACGACATGTGGTGGGGAGTTACGAGGAGAAAGCCGGGTTTTGCCGGGTATCGAGTAGTGAAATTTGGAGAAAATACGGGTAAGTTAATAAGATTTTATTCCATGTGGGAGAAAGTGACTTTGCTTGTCCTAGATACATGCAAATTTATTGCATTATTGTTATATTTTCAGACTTGATGACTTCATCAACGTGGGCCGACCGGTTAAGCCATGTGTTGTATACTTAAATAAACTTTTGCGATGACTTCACAAGAATCGAGGAGAGAGAAGAAGAGATAAGAAAGGAATGGCAAGGATAACTCCAACTCGGCACACGCCCCGGAACCGGAAGTTCATGACGAAATGGTGACAGGACTCAATACACAATATTGCAAGAACAACATCATCATCATCCCCATCTACTATCCAATAATATCAATATACAGATAAAATTCATTGCAGGAGATTCGGGTAAGTCCACTTTTTCTTAGCATCTTTGTTATGATTATCGGTCGTTTTTTTCCCTACGGTATATCGGTTACATCGGTTAGGGTTGTCACGACAAGGGCGCTTTCATCAAAGTAGATTTTGTTTAGTGGGTTGGGTAGAATATTATAACTTTATAGCTCTTCTCTCTATATGTTCAAGAATTGATCGCTTGGCGGATATTTTTTCTTTCGCATTTGCCGTTTACAACTGAACACCACACACATAAAACATGTTGTAATTATTAAAATGTCAAGGCAGTCAGTTGTCAGTTCCTTCTACTACCACGCACAATAGATTCCGATGTTGATTATAATAATAGCCTTGCCTTGGGTCAATTTCATCTCCACATTGTTAAACATGTACTAAACAACCACTTGCATGCCATCATACGTATATGCATGTACGTTCGACTGATACCACTCTTGTGGTGGGCACGGGCAGAACCCTTATTAGGCTAGGCAAGCCGGCCGGTAATATTATTATGACAAGCATCTCTCCGATTGGCATGTGGGATGGAAAAATGGGCCTTTCTTGTTAGATTGTGGATATGCAGAGATCATCTTTTTTTAAATGTTGTCCAAACCTCTTCGTTTATCAAGTACACACACACAGCTAGAATACATAAGCAGAACAATGAAAGAAGTAGGCACAACAGGCATTTATTTAGTATCATTCCATTCTCCATTTCTTGAGCCAACTCAACTCAGGAGGGGAGGTTGTGTACTATCAACTCCCGGATCTCGATGCCCTTTGGATATTTTGTAGTGTCCCATGAATGTACAACAACCCTAAAGTGGTTTGATTCCATGGCCACATTTGCGCCCGCCACACCCACTCAAAGGTGCCCAAAAATCGCTTTCACTCCAGCTTTCACTCATTCAAAACCACGCCAAAAATCCAATTTTACTCCGATTTTGAAATTTCTTTCACCATTATACTCCCAGATAGTTGCTTTCTTATTTCCAACATCAAACTCAACTTTTTGAAATTCTTAGTAATTTTAAAATTTAAAATTCTGAATGAGCATTGTTGTAGTAATCAACAAAACAAATTATGCCTGCGAAGTAATCATCAGAAAAGTTGAATTTGATGTTGGAAATAAGAAAGCAACTATCTGGGAGTATAATGGTGAAAGAAATTTCAAAATCGGAGTAAATTTGGATTTTTGGCGTGGTTTTGAATGAGTGAAAGCTGGAGTGAAAGCGATTTTTGGGCACCTTTGAGTGGGTGTGGCGGGCGCAAATGTGGCCATGGAATCAAACCACTTTAGGGTTGTTGTACATTCATGGGACACTACAAAATATCCAAAGGGCATCGAGATCCGGGAGTTGATAGTACACAACCTCCCCTCCTCAATTCCATTATTTTTCTTCTTGGCCGAACCAAAATGCAAATGTCAATATCCCAATTGTAAAAAAATACATGAAACTTGAAACCGACAATTGAAATCAACATCCCACAGTAGTGTTGGATAAATAGCCAAAATTTAATTTCACTTAACCGCCTGCTACAACCAACCTTTTGGGTTTTGTTAAATATGGCCTTCAACCTCCTCATTTGCAATTGCTATTCTGCAAAAATGCCATTAAATGATTCATAAATTAAATTTGAGTGAGTAACACTCTAGGTTTAGTCCCGACCGGATCCTTTTTAGTGACATTGTTACGCCATTATTTCTGCATTTGATTGCACAATCTTAAATTCTGCTACAATCCAATTAAGGTACATTTCATTCCCATGATATCATCAACACCATGCCGCATATATAATAGCATAAATATTTCTTGGAATTTGCAAAACAAACAAATAATGAATCAATGGGGCTAGGCCCGGAATTCGATTCGTTCTCACACATTCCTTGGGTCTCTCTCTCTCCTCCTATTCTTATTTGTGCATTGTAAAAGAAGAAAAAGAATCGACTTTCACTACAACATATATCACCACCACACAATATTCTCACCATCATCCATCCAATCCCTGCGGTAATGGATGGTGTATCTAAATAGCCGAAGAGTGGAACAAATAATAATGCTCGCTGCTGTCTGTCTCTGTCTCTCTCTAACTGCATGCAACTCGTATATGTTCCCGGATTCGCACTTGTTACAATCAACATCAAGTTCGTACCGGAAGCTCGTAAAAGCTTGAAAAGCTGAATGAACTGATAAGAGGATGAACTCAGCAAAGCCCGTTCCGTCGTCCGTGTCCACAAACAATCACTGCAATTTAATGTAATGTTATTTATGTTATGAAACTTTATATCGCTACACACACCAACCAGCCAACCAACCAATTCATTTATTATTTCACTTTACTTGTGAGTTTCCGCAACCCTTCAACTTTATCTTCGTCACCCATTCATTCATTTTATCCCATTCTTTATGTTCTTCTTCTCTTTACAACAATCGCACAATGTATTGTCTGATTGTTTCTGACAGAGCAATGGGACATTTTAAAGTTAAAAAACATCTTTTCATAATGTATAATGGTCCTAATGGTTGTAGATTATTGTTGTGCGAATGTGTATAATATGGCGGAGCCTTATGTTCACCTGTAAAGAGAAAAAATACATATTTGAGGCGAGCACAGACGAGACGATTTTTTATGAAGGATTTTAAAATTGAAGAAATATCATTCTCAATCAGCCAAGAACACGATGAGAAGAGAACTATGCATTTGTTGGTTATTATTATTACGTAGAAAAATATTAAAAGATTCCGATTTTATCCCTCAAAGGTAGTGGTAATGGTAGACGGATGGAAAAAGGGATTTGTTCATTTCTTTCATCCTATTTCATTGTTTGTTGTTAACACCCCAAACATTCTCACCACACATTATTACTTACTTACACTGCACCTTTGTATCCACCAATTTCAACATCATTAAAACTATTCAAATATCAAGGTAAACATTCGGCATTGGGATGCATAAGATTTGACGAATGTAATAAAAGCGTCTCAAATAGACAAAAGGGAGGACTTGCAGTGCATACCTTTGCAGTGAAGTCAACCACCAGACAACTGTTACATTGGTGCTGCTGCTGCTTTCATATTCTTTCTTTAATTAGCTAAAAAATGTTGGGGACATGTGCATATTTAGACAGATATTTTTGTGGCACTCTCTGCCTGCCTGAGAATTATGTTCATATTTCAATTCTTGCTGCTTTTGTCAACTCTCTCATAAGCAGAGGAGAAGCAGGATTGTGTTTCGCTCGTCGGCTCTCCAAATACACCTTATTATTATTAATTTACTTGCCTTGGTTAAAAAATGAATATTATTTGCACAGACCACACCATACCGTACATCTAGTTGTAGTTGGTAATAGTTGGAATAAAGAGCAGAATAAAATAAGCTAATAAGCAGCAGAACATTTCAACACTACGACTCACCAGTAGACAGACATTATTATTACGAGATCAGCTTGCAAATTGATGCAGCTACATAGCCGAGCAGCCCTGGTGTATAGAGAGACGAGACAGACGGACATAAAATTTTTACTTACTAAGGTATTTAGCATTCAGAACAATTCGAATTGCACATTTACATTCAACGATTTAGCAGTCGCATTAATTCTAAATAAGTGTGCATATAATATAGTATAGTCGTTCGTATCGTGTAGTACGGCGATATTATAATATGCGGTACTACACACTGCAGGCAGGCTGGCAAAGAAAAGAGGGTAAAGAAATAATAAGATTGCGGATTGTTGAAGACTTTATGGACTCTGTCGTCGTCGTCGTTGTCGGATAAACTTTCTTGTGGTTTTCATCCATCTCCTCTCCGTTCTTCTCTTATCTACGAGTCACACAGTAGAAATTTTAACTGCCATTATTTAACAAGTGTTAAAAAGTTTTTAACATTATTTATTTGGACTTTAGCCTTATACATGTATACACAGAAGGGAGCCGTAAAGTAGGAGTTGATTTATGCGGTGATATTTTTAGTATGCAGCAGCCTTTGATATGTCCGAAGGTAACAACAACGTGACCATTTTTTATTATTATTGGCATTTTGATAATTAGTTTTTCATTAGATTAACCAATAAATAATATTCTTGGCTGCTCTTTCTTGCTTCTTAAATAAAAATTAAATTATTTAGTGGTTTCGGGTTGGGCATTTTTCTAAATGTGAATTGGAGAGAAATTCCTTTTCAATTTTTTTTTACTCGATGGGTCGTTTTTTATTAGTATATATTTTTTTGATGGTAATGCTAGTCGTCGTATGGATGGATAGCTTGTTTGTAGCAAGTTTGTAATGATGGTGGCGAGATGGTAAATAAATGGCATAAAGAATGGAATTAAGTTGGGACAGGAACCAACTACTTCCACGTCATCCTGTATCATCTCCCATCTTGCCGGTTGCATGCAATTCCATCCAGTCGAATCGTTTTTAGAGAGGTTTGTCTTCTTTTGCAGAATATTCATGAAATGATGATTGAACAGAAGAACAGTAAAATGAACGAGGGGTTGGCGTTGAATGGGGTTGGTTAAAGGCTGTTGCTGTGCCATGGTAAAGTTGGTTAAACCGAGTTGAACTAATCCACTGCATGCATGCAATTGTGTAGTGTGGGAAAACATGTGAATTATTGTGAACCTGATACTACTATAATTTCATCCAACCAATCGTAGATATACCATTTCACACTACCTAATTCCAGTCACTTGGTGGTGGTAATATATAATGGCAGTAAGTAAATATTAAACACATTTTCTCGCGAGTGATGAACTGAACGGCCAATCTTTTTCTTGTACATATATTTATGCATCTTTTGCTCCACGGGTAGAACAAATAGGGCCCCCACGCAGTAAACTGCCAAATAAAAAGTGGAGATGGAATTTGTACCTGAAGAACTAATACTTTAATCGGTACCGAGTTCAGAATTCGCGTATTCGAAGTGCATCTATCAAGAGAGGAGGAGAGGTTATTTTCGACAGGTTGGCTAAAATTTCACCTGAAGGGAAATAATTGAATGACCACACATATATACAAGTTTAAGTACATCTGTAGGCAGTCAAATTCCATTTATTGCAGGGTTGCGGGAATTGCTGCTTTGTGCAATGCAATACAACTTTCATATTTCAAATAGAAATGCATGAAGGAATCTCTGTCTGTCTCTCTCTATATATATTCGTTCGTTAAGACAAGTTGAAGATTATTTTACATGCCGTAAGAAGATGAAGAGGATGAGACGATGGAAGGTTTTATATTGGAAAATATTCAAGTTGAGCGTTTTTGTATTATGGTTTGGTTGGTCGGTGTCTGTCGGTCGTACCATCGGACAAACGTATCCCTGACTTGCCTCATTTCATGTAGGCATATCTTTCTTTTTCTTTCTTGCGCTTTAAACACAGAAATGCAATGCAATTCGTACCCTGTCGGAATCGCATCTCATTGTGCATAATCACAGTCTGGCAAGTTGTACTAGAATTTTTCATCCAAATAGTCGTCGTAGTACTACTTACACTACACTTCTTACGTTTTTTACTAGCTCTTTAGTGTTCAATCACATAAGAAATGATGATGATGGTGGTAGTGTGGCATTTTTCCTGCACATTGCACTCGCTGGCTGCTGGTTGGTTGTGAATTCTTAAATGTATTATGTGCTCACATTGTTGTACTTGTTCTAGCGTAGCGAATATCATACCTTTAATAATAATATAATACTTGCATTTACGTGCCTATTCAACTCAAGTTTGCACTTATGTTATTCGTTTGATTTTTAAGCCGAATAATATTCGAACATTTAAGTAAGTACATACACCTACAGCCAAAAAGAGCGAGAGAGAGAGAGAGATGGATGAATGTTTTAACAAGTTTAAAAGACTTCTTATTACGCTTGGCTAACTTATCGTTCTTCACTCCTTTCTTAACATAGGCAAGTATAAAATAGAACCAAAAGCATCAAACTATCAAAAATTAAGACTCGAGAATGTACAGACTTGAACTACTCGGTTGGGTATATCAGTTGAATTCGAATGTTTTAATTTGACTACCTGTAACATACCTTTACCTGCTTGCATTTTCTTCTTGCCACCTTTTTTTACCTCTTATAAAATGGCATGCCATACTTCCACCACCACATCGACGACGACGACTAGGACGATCATCATCATCATCGTCATACCTTTCTTGATGTTCAGTCATTATAATATTCTCTCTTCTGTATAGACACTGAGCATCAGCCTTGCCTTTTACTTGTTCGGTAATGCAATATTATATTAGCAAATAGGACGAAGGAGCAAGTGCATTCCACTCTTCTCATCTCATCCCTGTAACAAGTTTTTACCTCCGAGTGTCTTCTTTTAAGCTAGCACAATGCAACATTACTTACTTTCAGAAAGGCAATGCAATGCCATCATGCAAAGACGCTCAAAGCCAGCACAAGCAGCAAGCAACGAGTAATTCGTGAGTCTTTGACTTCAAGAAGAAGAAGTTGGACCAAGAATCATCATCATCATGCATCGTCTTGAGGTCTAGCAAGCAGAGTCTAGCTGTCTAGTCTGCGGTTCTTCTTATGGTGTTATTACCTCTATTACCTCCGTGGTTGGTTGGTTGGTTGGTTTATTTATTGCTTTGGTCTGCTCATTTTCGAATAAAATGAAATAAAGTCTCACTACTTGTGAAATCATTTGATAGTTTAGAGCTAGGAATTTAAGAAAGAAAACCATGATAATAAGCAAAGTTGCAATTTTTTCTCTCCCATCGACCAGTTTTATATAAATGTTGCATGGAAAGTGGGGTTGAGCTATTTTCTTATTTATACGTGTGCAGGCAGAGTGCTGCTTGCACTACCAAAGGCATGACAGTTACTGGTTCGCCCAGGAATTATTATGCGCTTGGTGTCGGCATCATATAAAGGAGAAGAAGAAATCCTGCAAAAGTAAGAAATTTTCTTGTGTTTTAAATCTATCTATATGGGTTGGTTTAGTTAGTTGGTTGGTTTAATAAATTCAAGGGTTGTGTGATATGAACTGGTTCTGCTTTTGCTGGTAGAAAAGTCCCAGTATTTCGAGAGAAGAAGCGTATGCATATCTCGTGAAAGCAAAGAATGGGATTTGTTGAGATTACGTGTTATATAGCTGCCTGCCTGGGTTGGGTGGGAGGATGGCCTCTCATACACACAAGTTCTGCTCTGCCGAGATTTTTTACAAGTCGTTCATACTCTTCTTCTTCTCTTCTGCTCTATGAAGGGATGCGAGAATTTAGCTTAACAAGTTTGTAGCTATTAGACCAAGAATTTGAAGTCAAGTCATTCATAAACCCGAGAGTCATTGAGACTCAAGTTTGAGACAGGGACGAAGAAGAGGAAGAAGAAGTAGTAGTAAAGTAGTGTGGATCTCCTTTAGTTGTTCCTTCTTGGCTGGTGGCACGACGACATAGTGTTAAAAGATTTACTTACTACATTATATTCTCTTCTCTTCTACCACTTTCAATAATAGCCATACGAACGATCGTAGAAACAAAAAAAAATGTTCACCTTTTAGATATTCAAGTTATTCTGCAATCACTTACTTAACTTGTAGTAAAAGTCTTGTACTCCTCACTTGTGTGACTTTCTACAATAAGTTATGAATTACTTTTGGTGCAGCAGCAGCAGGAGCGAGCGACTACTTACTTACTACATAAATTCATTGCACATTGGCGGACGGTGGACGAGGTGATTTGGAGTGGACCAAGAAGAAGGAATGTGAATGTGAAGTTGGCAGTGGACTTTGACACTTGACTCGACCGACTCCTCGGTTCATTTGCTCATTGATTTCGTTGGTAAGTCTTATTATTTAATCTGTTTATTATGCTATACAATTGGACATAGTTTTTAGCACCATTCTTGTCATACCTTCACGTAAATATGCATGCACGTAAGTACAGTGGTGCAGACTTATTATTGCAGACAGCTGCATCGCCAAAATCATCCTACTTACTTACTTCTGGGGGAGGTCTGTGAGACACATTGAGCTATTGGGTTTCAAAAATGCATAGTAATGACTTTCAGAAGCGAAAGCCAGCCAGTCAGCAACATTTAGTGTACAAAATTACATTTAGATAGAATGTATGTAGAATGTACAATAGTCTCAAGGGGTGTGTATTTGGTGGTCTGGTCTGCGGAGAGCTATGTGATCTCGTCTCTTGTGTACGTATGTATATTCTTGTTGGCCAACAACTTGGCAATATTATCTTCTCTCTCTCTCTCCATTACAATTTCATTCTTTGTATGTGTGTGTGGAGGTAAAGAGAATAAGAGTGTGATCTGACTTTGTAAAATAACTGGTAACTAAATTACTAAACCTAACTAACTGGTCAGTTGCCAAAGCAGTGCCAAAAGAATCTGGTATTGAGATGATGATGCAGTGATGGAAGGAAGGTAATATCATGATGGGAAGGTGCATTGCATTGAAATTCTCGTTGTCAGCCAAGGTTCTCTACATTTATCCATTTTCAACTAAGAATCAAGATATTCAAGAAGAAAAGAATTGGCATTCCTTTCCTCTTCAAGTCTCTTCTCCTACTTCTCCTCATTCTGTGTGAAAGAAGGAGTGAAGTGGACATAAGGAGAAGAAGAAGACTCGTTTGGTTAGACCATTATCCACACACTTATCGCAATTCCAACTTGAATCTCGATTTTCGAATAAGTATTCGATACCTTCTTCTGCTTCTTTCAGTTTTCTTAAGTTTTTTAATTAACCAATATCAAAATCAACGAAACTTGGTGAAAATTAAAGTAAGAAACTAACGTATATGTAATGCATAATGACTCGTGATCGCCCCTTGCACCATTATTATTAGCATTAGTATTAGTACCCCAACAAACAGTTGTCTTTAGAGAGGAGAGAAGGATGGGTTGGTTGGTGGGTTTATAATATTTGCATTCATATTTATTCATTTCATGCAGGTAGCAGCAAACCAGACAGCAGGTAGATTTATAGGAGTTAAAGACTCGTCAAGATTTAAACCTCATCGGAGTCATTAGTAAGGACCGGTCTGTCAAGGCTGAACAATTTTTGAGACAGGATTTTTGGTTACAGACTGCATTTGGAATTTCGAGTTGTATAATGTGCTGAGGAGTGATATAGGCTGATTCGTTCACAGATATGCAAGTACTTCTTCTTGCTGGATGGAATATACTTAATTTTATAAAGTGGTGGTGTTGTTGGGTTAGTAGACAGATGGATGTTGGGAAAGAAACCGGAACCGGCGAGTTAAATCTACGGATTATGTCTCGTCATCTCTTGATACTCTCCTCTTGCCAGATCAAATTGAATACAGAAATGACACCAGAAGAGCAGTCGTGTGTTCAACAATGGTCCTTTCGTATTATTGGTGAGGAGATTGTTACTTTAATTTAGCGTCGTTTTCTGAGGGAGAGTTCGCATCGTTTATCATGAGACGGGAGGAGATGGATAGGGATGGATGTACATGTTCCTGCTGTTTTATTAGTGGTGGTTAGTTAGTGGGAACAGGAAAAATTCCGAGAACTATCAGAATGACTGTAGAGGGAGAGACCCAGTTTGTTAATAGTCAACAAGTTAAACGACGCGATGATATCGTACTTGATATCACTACATGCCATTAAAGTTTGCTCTTCTCTTTGTGGCTGTTGTGGACTTGATTTGATTGATGTACACCAAATTCACAAGGTTTTTTGAGGATTAGATAATGGATTGCATTATTAGTGGCAGGTTGACCGCATATTTGTAAGACACATATTTATTATTTGCAATAATAAGGATTTTTCTCCTTTTATAGATATTGTAATACTATGCGATACGTGAATGTAATGTAGGATGGGCTATTGGTTGATTCATTATTTCATGTGAAAATTGCATTGTTTAAAAAAATCTTTGTTAATGGTTTATCTCGTTTTATTCATTTATTGACAATTCATTCATTCCCCCAAATTCTGAATCAACTCTTTTTATAACCATGCAAGTTTACCCAGACGATGGTGGCATGGCAGGGCATACGTACAGTTATGTGTAATGGGACATGAGTTGGTCACACTGTGGTCATTGGTCTTACTTGTCGCCATGATACGCTTCTATGTATCGTCAGGAGAAGCGATAATGATTGAAAGAGCTTGCTGTGTTAGTAGGTTTAGGGTCAACGGTCAATAGACCAAGATTGAAAATATATATACTTATCAATGAAATGATTGTGGTTTTTGAATTAATACACGCAAGCACGAGTTACAACCATGTACTGCATATTTATTCTTTCCAAGAAGCAGAAGAGAGGAATCATGGTGGTTATTGAAAGGTGATTTTTGTGATAAAAATAAGGGCAGTTTGTTTGAGTCACTCTACTCATGATGATCATCTCCTTTAAATTAAATAAGTGTGTAAAATTATTCAAGAAAGTTTCAATTAAAGATGGTCATGGTGGGATTATATTTATTGATTGAATGTGGTTCTGTGCAGTTGTTGTACAATTATTGTGCGCCTGTCATATTTTTTTAGTCATTTGAATTTGTTTGCAATAAGTCTGCCGACTAAAAAAGAAGATAATGATGTGATAATATGTGTGTGAAATGGGCTCTTTCCGTCCGTTCTTCATGGGATAGTGGAATTGAATTTGAATTCATCTAATATTTATCTGTCTACTATTTCGCAGATTTTCACATCATCATCGCCACACCATCATCATTATCATATTCTGCTGCTGCTGCTGCAGGGGGACGGACGGACGGTGGTTGATGGTGTTCTCTTGTAACTGAAACAGCTTGGAAGATTCGAAAGCCTTTATGTTTGCTGAAGTTGGTGGACGGACGAGCGAAGCGAACTGAGGAATTTGACCTCGTCGTCCACATTCAACATTCCTCCCGTTTACCTCCCATTCCATCCAAAGTCCCTGTTAAAGAACTGAAGAGAGGAGACACCATCACACCAACCAACCAACCATCACCACAGCATATTGCATTGCACATCATCGTACCACCAGCGCAGCACTGCAACAACATTATAACATGATGATCACCATCGTCATCATCATCTGCTGCTAAACTAAAACCAAACCATCCGTCCATCCATAGGAGAGAGAGAGAGAATAGACACCACGAAGAAGGAGCAAGTGATCTCTGGGATTAGATGATGATGATGATGCTGGGACGAACGATGATCATCCTTCCTTCAACATGCAGCCGGCCAACACTGCTAAACTCTTGGTCTTGGTCTTCTTCTGCTAACTCTTTTAGTAAGTTATAAGTTTATGTAAGCCTCTCCTTCAAATTCTTCTCTAGGTTTTTTGCACTTTTTAAATCCCCAATGGTCATCTTATTCCTGCAGAGAGTAGTGAGCACATCTACGGCGAAACTGGCGAAAGAGAGAGAGATAAACTGCACCACCAGCTTTGCGAGGCAGGCTGAAGCAACAGGGTCATCATCATTCCGCAGCTCTTCGTAGTCTCATCTCTCTTGTCTTGGCTTGATTCCCTGGATATTATTATTCCATATCTGCCATCATCTTCATACGCCGACAAGACAGCTCAACGGAAGGAAATTAAATTCTTTAGAAAACAAAGTGAGAAAAGATAAGCCAACAACACGACCAATTCTTCAATCCATCATCATCCTTGATGTTCATTCAGAATCAAGAAGCAGCATTTTAGATATCCAGTATTATTATCTATCATCCTTTGCTCGTCAGAACTTCTTAACTAGAGTTTGTTGAGACCTACTGCTGCTTATTTGTCCAATTGAGAATCAAGTGCATCCGGCTGGTACACACACATATATTTGTATATGGTTTCTTAGTGGATCGCACATTCGGCGAAACGGTCGGTGGAGGAAATGGAAGGAAGGAATTGCAACTGATTAGCAGACACACACGTATCTGTAAAAAAAAGTTTGCAGTCTTCGAGCCTTAATAAGGTAACGAGTGAATTATCTATTTTATTGCTTCCTGTCCTCGCAACTTACTCCTAAACAGAAGAATCTTTTCTTCTTGAGCTGTTTTATTTATTTAGTCATCATCAACATTTTATTCCATTGTGCTCAATTAAAGCACTAAAGCTGTTGCATTCACTTCACTCACTTACATACTCCTACGTACGTATGTAGATATGTAGGTACGTATCAACCATCATTTACTTACTAGAATGAGTGAGTAATTAAAGGCAATTCGGTGTTACTGGTGGTTGCTTTCATTAAATAATAAGAATTTGGTGGTAGCTGGTAGTGTGATAAGAGACGAAAAGAAGGAGCAGGAGAAGAAAAGAGTTTCCAGTCTCTTGGGCATGGGATTCTCTACTTCCTGCCCATCCATCCGCCCGTCTTTGCATTGAAAGCGTTTTTCTTACACAAACTCATTTTACAGCAGAATTGCGAGTTGTTAGGAAAGAAAAGCACTAACTAACTAACTAACTAGCCAGCCAGCCTGATAGTATAAATGTTGTATGCACGTACAGGGTTGTCGTGTAGGTTGTTGGTTTTGGTTGTCTGTTTCAACCAAGTGTCGAATGCTTCTTCCCGTCTCTCATTTGAACAGTACGTATTATTATTACAACATGATCGGCTTAAACTATTAAAGAACCAACTCTAAAGTCCAGCCAGCAGAAAAAGCGTTGAGACGACGACGACGAATGTTCATTCCATTCTTTCTTTTCTCGACTACCCTTGGCATAAAATGGCATGTGTCGTGTCGTGATTAGAAAAATATAAATTCGCGTTATTTTTCGCAATCTGTACAATTATTCTGAAAAGGGGGATGCGTTTCATTAAATTAGAGATGGCCTATGTATTACGTGGTCGCGGTGGGTAGCTATTTATTATTATTATGAGCGATATCTGGTGCGAGATCACTTTTCCCATGTATGAAAAAGAGGGCTGCATAAAAATTAGGAATCGCTTTCCTTTCTCACAGGAACCTTCTTCTTCTTGGGTGTATTGTCTATTAAGACTTATAAGATAGAGATGGTGGGAGAGGAAGTATTAGCAGAGAATGGAAGTAATCAGGCAGTGCAGGTTTTTAGGAGGAAACAATGAATTGCAATCATCATATAACGAACTTGCTGTACAATCCGCAATCGCGGCGGTTTTTACGTAACTTTCCGAGTTTCCGGATTTCATTATTAACAAGAACAGGAAGGGTCGGAGGACATTGAGACAAGTTCTTATTGTTACACCATCAGCAGCAAAGCAACAGGCATTGCATTTTGCAATATGAGTTGTTCCTCTTTATATGGTGTCCCCCTGCTGAACCGACACACCACCGGTTACACCGTGAAGTGCGGAGCGTCTAAAAGAGAGCCCATGCAATGCAACCACTTGTTGCTCACTGCAATATAGGTACATTCATTCTCAACCCTTTTACTTCACCGTTTGCTTGCTTGCTTCACCGTTTGCCAATGTCATTTCGAAATCCAAAGTAATTCCATTTCTTTCTTCGTCTCCTTCTTCTTCTGCACGTCTCACTTCATTTCTTCATTACAATAGAATACTTGGAATTTGAAAGAGACAAGTCAAGAAGTTGGTTTGTTAACCAGGCAGGCGAGGCAATACAGTCACCAACCCACCATCACCATCTCCGTCTGCTGTGAATAAAAAGCCAACCTGGGCCGGCTTTAAAATGTCTATGACTTATATTTTTTACCATCTACTGGTAATATCTGTTGGTGCTTGCTTAATGGGTTACATTTTAAAATGGAATTGTATAGAGATAGATATCCATCTATCCATCCATCCAGGGTGAACAATTTTTTGAATTCACTACTAGAGAGAAGAGAAAGATGGCAAAGAGATTTATTTCCCTTTGTGGTTCAATAATGTAAATGTGTGGAATTTAGTTGGATATTTGGATGGGATTGTTGTATAATGTACACAATATATGTACATGGATACATGTGTACAAATTCGAGGATGGAGGATGGATGGTTAAAGGAGAATGAGCAATTTGCGTTCTGAAGCACGCAAATTTTATAGCACACATGCTTAATACAAAAATGATCATAATAATAAATGATAATTTTGCTCTGAATACTAAACATTATTGGGTCCAAGTACAGCCCTTTATGTTCAATTCAGAACAGTTGTTTCTTGCATGGTTTGGTTAGTTAGTTAGTTGTACATGAATGTAGGCAGGTAGGTATATAGCGTTTGATCCAACACGACGATGAGAGAACATGCACTTCAACGAGATGTACGTACGTACCAATTGGGTAATTTTGTATTGGATATTTGCGGAAAGTCATCTAGGGAAAAAAATGAGGAAAAATGAGCAGACATTTAGTAGGTAGATGGTTAGGTATTTAGAGGAGGATAGGTAAAAAGACTGCAATATTCTGACGGGGGAAGCTCCTCAAAGAATTGATAAATGTATGTGTACTGTTGAGCGAATAGGATTAGATAGAAAATTTATATATCCTCTTTCTCTCTCTCTCCAATTCTGATGATGGCTTTATTGTCGTATTGCATCCCACTACTTCCATTCTCTCGACATGTATGTACGTGATTATTCTCATCCATTCTAGATCGTTGGATTGGATCTTGAACTCTTTTGCGGGGTTTAATGCTCGTCTGTTTTTGCAGTGCCGTTGGTTTGCATTGAAATAATATTTTACTTTTTTATTTATTGCATTATTATATTATACTAGGAGGTAGGTAAGGTAGGTAGGTAGTGGGATAAGTAAGATAGTTAAGTTACCACCAGCCACCAACTAACTAACTAACGAACTATTAACCATCCAACTAACACTATTGAGCATAAGTAGAAGACCTGATGGTATAACAGCATCAGGGGTGTTGAATATGTCTAGACAATTCGTCCTACTTCGAACATAACGAAATCCCATTTAAAACTCTCTCTTATTCTATGTTGTAGTAGTAGCTCTTATAAATATTCTCTGTATGTGTTGAATTTGCAGCTTCCTTCACGTCATACCCATCTCTTGTGTAAGTGCAGTCTCACTTGGTTCAGCACATCTCCTCTCTCTAATAGCTATCTCTGCAGCAGTGTAGCAGCATCGTATGCAACAGGCTGAGCACGTCGTCCGTAGGATTGTGGATGGATGATGATGACGAGGAGGTTCATTCTCTCAGAGACGAACGAACTTTATGCAGATCACGAGCAGGCACATATACACGAGCAATAGAAAGGCAGCAAAGTTAAGTTGGCATGTTGCTGGTATTATGAGGAAAGAAAGATGTATTAGTTAGCAGCAGTAGGAAAAATGCTACCCACATTATATATTGAGCTCTGAATATTGAGTTCAAAAACTCATCCGCCACCACCAGCAGATATATGCATGCAACAGCTTTGCTAGCTTTCACAGGAATTGGTTTGCATGGTGTGGTTTCCTTTACAGCTTTTGGTTGGTATGCAATAATGTATGGAGAAGCAGCAGCAGCAGCAGCAATGCAATAAGCTCTCTTCTGCTAAAGAAGAGAATGGCAAGGCACTTTTTGTGTTGGCAATTCCATCCATCGAATTCACACTACTCTTCTACTACTACGGCTACACTGCTCTGTTACGGCATTGCATACTGAGACTGGTGGTGCACTGCTAAAGCTGGTTAAAAAGGCTGCATTATAAAACTTTAAGCAAAATAGAGACCGTCTCTCTTTAACTAAACCGAAGCCAGCAACCCCTTCTTCAGGTTCAACTATTTCTCTTCTCCTCTGCTGCTGCTGGCAAATGTATTTTATGAACTTTTTGTGATGGGTTGGTTTCGAGTTTTGGTTGTGCAATGGATGGGTTTTATGCATATCCCCGTCGTCGTCGTCTCTCTCTCTCTTTAAGCTCTCATCTCTCTGTAAAGCGTTTGGTTGGCTGGTTTGGATGGTAAAGTGAGTGAGGTTTGTTAAATTTTTAACTTGCAGAGAATGCTGTTAGGTTGGTTTGGTTGTAATCATCAGGAGTCATCGTAAAAAAGTATGATAGTGAGACACAAGAGAGACGAACATTCCACCCTGCCACCCACTCCCATTCATAAACTCTCCTCAGTGATTCTGCAAGTCCAACAACAGCTCGAGCAGATTTTATAACTGGGAGCAACCAACCAACCAACAATACACTGCTTATTCATCAGTTACAGATATTCACTACAATCCACACACATTCTCCTTAAAAAATTTCTATGCCGGTCTCTCTTTATAGTGGTGCTTGGTGTGGCAGAGAGGAGCAGCAGGAGCATAAGCACTTCGAACTTTTGCAGTTATGCCCTAGAAAGCTGCTGGGACACTTGTAGGCTGGTTTTGTTGGTGAGAGATTTTTCTGCCTACCTGCTACCTGGGAAGGAGGAGAGAGAGAGAGGAATTAGATAAACCAGGCACTCTAAAAGACTGCTAGACTATAGCTGTGTATATAATATGTAATAATTCGTAATTTGCAATAATGCGGTGCAGTTGGTTGGTTGGTTGGTTTTTAGTTGGTGGCTCTCTTCTTATTCTCTCTCTGTCTGTCTTTTACCTCTCATCATCATTGCCCATGGTTGGTCTGCTGGTGTGCAGTTGATAGGTCAACCATAAATAATTATTTCTAAACTGTTCATTCGGATTTCGATGTTCCAGTGCCTTTCCATATTCATACAAATACACATCTGTTCAATATTCATTCAGTAATATAATCAACTTATTTGACTATGGAGTGTGGTGGTGATAAAATACACGCACAGGACAGGAGAGCAAAAGAGAGTCCAAAGAACTGATAATAATATAATATCGTGGTAGTCGCCTCTTTTGCTGCTGTGGATGATTTTGTGGTGGAATTATTATTATATTGTGCTCTTCTTGTGACGAGTGAGTCTCATCTCATCAGTTGTAGTTGTTGGTCGTGAGAATGCATGGAGCAAATGACATTGTCGTTGTCGTCGTCGCCGCCGCTTCTCTCGATTGTCTGTGAGTGTGTGTGTGTCATCAGCTCTTCATCCAAGTCATCACTTGAGTTAGTTATTCAGTTTGATTTGATAGCATAAAATATTACCAGTTTATCAGCTCTGGATATTTTCGAGTTATTACTGCTGCTTGTTCTTGGGGTGAGTGTGAGATTATGTGGAAAATATGACCACTCACTCGTCCACCGAGCAGGCTACATCGTATGTGTAAGTATTGTGCTGGTGGTACTCATAATCAATGGATAGCAAAAATTTGGTATGTGCAAAGCAGGAGTTTGCAATTTGTTATACGACTACCACCACTTATGTCTGACTGAGAGACGGAGAGTTGACCAACTTAATAATAACATTTTTTTTCAGCGCGTCATGTAACACACCTTCCCACAGTCAGTAAAGTGATTGTAATTAGGGTCGAATTCCAGTCAAATGTGTGTGTGTGTGGGTAAACCTCCCCTTGATCATATCATGTTAACAGTTTTACCTTTTTCTGTTCCGCAGGTTTATTTCGTTGAATTGGAGGATGACGGGTGATGGTGTGGAAGGATCATGCAAAATGCTGTGTGTGGATTGACCTCATCGGTTGGGCCGGTTGGTGACGACGACGGATAAAGTAGTAGTAGTAGTTAGTTGGTGAAGAAGAATGTTCATTCAATGCTCACTCACACGGCTGTACATTCAACTTATTACAACAGCTCCTCTCCGGTTGCAAGGTCCACTGGTTGAAGACAACGTGGAAGTAATACAAGAAGAAAAGAAGAAGGAAGCCAAGTAAGGAGCTGAAGTAATGCTCTTTCGCAGAATTCTATTCATGGGTTGTTCGAATTTGAGAATGTTTTATATTCCTTGTAACTTTCTACAACTTGTTGTGTTAGAATAATTCTCTGTATTGTTCTAGGTGTGGTGCCTGGCTGGGGATTCGCACAGTAACTGAATTCAGCAAGACGACGAATCACGAAGACGGTCCTGGGTGTTGGATCATGAAAGCTCTCAATTGCAAGCAGTGTTGGATATCAAGACAAGAATTTGACAACTGCAGTTCTTTTCACCCGACAATTCCAGCTTTTATAATGATTTGTCAGATAGTTTTTTAACTCTGAGATCATTGTGAAAGCTGATTTTGGCGGTGTCCTTTCGTCGAACTGTACGTTGGAAATTTATGAAATAATGCTCACCTAGTAGTTTCTAAATCCTCCACCAATCAAGTATGATTCAAGAACAAGGAAAGAAAAAAGTCAGCAAAACTGCAAAAGCGAAGAGGAAATTATTGCAATTTTTAAATGAATTTGAAATTGCCTAATCATGCATTTTATGTAATGCTACTAAATATTTGCTGTCGAGTTGCACAATTATTGTTGAATATTTTATTCATACTTAACTAAAATTGTACTGTGCTCTTATTATTATTATTATTCACGCCCGTAATTCATTCCTCTCTCGCTCATTCAATGTATGAATTTTTTATTTTAAATGCTCCAGTTTCTATTTCATTAAAAGATTTTAACTTGGTTTAAAATTCACGTTTATGTAAGTTTAATCCAACCACACTCGTGAGTGTGCTGTATTTTAAGACTAAATCTCAGTCACTGTGTCGCCAAATAATCTGAATCAACACAGCTATCTCGAACAAACTAATTCATTCATTCATTGAATCGATAAATAGTTTTGTGTCCCATCATCATGTATTTATTTATCCTACACTCGTTCTCTTTTCCTCTGCTGTACACTGGCAATTTCTGAATGAAATGTAAATCTCTCTCTTTTATCTCAAAGTTACTGCAAAATGTGACCCTGGCAAATGAAGCGGTCAAACGATATTTCCATTTTCACAATCTGCATTCAATATTGTTATCCCAATTTCAATTAACAAGATGAGAGCCCTGTCAAAATTTTACTTTACTCTCATGCACCTACATTAAATACATTATCACAAGGTACATACATACAAATACATATTCCTCATTTTGAGTCGTTGATCGACAGCCAAACGGAAATGCGGCATGTGGTTAAAACTGATGACGAATAGTTTAACCAACCCTCGTCGATTGTCAATCTTTTATGTCTGCATGAATTTCAAATGAATACGTCTGTCTCTGTACCAGTCTCGGTCGCTCTGATTCTGAAAATTCATAACCAGCTGAAACAACCTCCCCACCTCCCACCACTTATTCATTTTTCCTATCCAGCCAACTTGCTCAGTTTCAATATGTAGTACCACAATAGACGGATTTATGTCATACTTTTTCTACGATTAGAGACGTCATATAAATGTCGTCGGTTAAATTGCATAATAAATAATATTTATAAAACCTATCAGTACAGCTTTGCTTAGCCCGAACCAGGTTTAGTAAACCCATGTTTCTCAGTAGTTTTCTATAAAATTATGTGCTACTATTTTACACTAATTTTTGCATTAACTTGCATCAATCTTTCGTACTACTAGGCTCCAAATTCTAAAAATATTTACTATCCATTGCCCTTGACTACTTCCCAGTGGGGGTCGCCTCTACAGCCCATATGGTTAATTTGTGTTCATATTTAACTTCGTATTATTTCATGAGAAAGCAGTAAGGATCTCTGGTCCAAATTTCAGCTTTCTATGTTAATTTCTAAAAATCGGTATGGGTCACCCCATAGGGTCGCTCTAGATAAAAATTTTACCAATTTCATGTCATATTCTTCCATTAGGACCCATAATCAACCTCTCCACCAAATTTCAGCTTGATATGACGATTTTGAAAAATCAGTATGGGTCACCCCCTAGGGTCACTCAAGAAGAAAATTTTTCCAACTTTAACTCATTTTTATCTATTAGGAGTCATTAGTAACCTCTGTGCCAAATTTCAGCTTTCTACGACAATTTTGAAATTTTGGTGCATAATACCCCACCCACTCCGATGACCCCCACCGGTCCAAAACTTTTCTGATTGAACCCATGTTCGAACTCGGTCGTTGCATTGCCCAGATACATGTCTGTACCAAATTTGGTCCAAATCGGTCAACTCGTTCGAGAGTTATCGAAAGACAGACGGACGGACAGACGGACGGACATGACGATTACATAAGCCCTGGTTCGGGCTAAAAAATGGTTGACGTTCGGATTCAGAAGTTTACATGGATGGCTGCTGTACAGGAAGGTTGGGTTGATATCTTCCTGATCAAATCTCTGCATATCTCTCTTTTTATTCATGTTATTTGATTAAGATTCCACATTTTCGGATGATTTTATCAACCGGAGGCATCATTCTCATGCACGTGAGTATATGCCGTATTTTATTTATTTATGAGTGGAAAATTTTAACTCTGATCTGACCCACATGTTTATAATTTTGTATTTTTTACCACTTTTGTGAAACTTCCTCTGCTTGTATTGTTCTAAATATTTACCCATTGTTTATAACTTTAAACAAAATATTAACCGGTTCAAAAATGCCTATTATTCTAAGAATCTTGGGTTAATGTAACGATTTTGTCTTTTATTGTTACTAAACATTCAGAATTACATGATGACCTGAATTTTCCCACAAATACAAATATCGTCGCATGCATATAAAATTTATTTCATAAACTTGACCTTGTCAAATATCCTTCGTTTTATTATTCGAATTTTTCCCCGTACTTATCAAATATTCGTGGATTGCACCTGGATAAGGAAGTCGAGCTCGACTTATTCGGCTCACTTTGTTCCTTACTTCAAATTTTGACAGTTTCTCAGAACTAAATTTACGATGCAGACGCACTTTTTGCGTGACTTGTCATCAAATTTAAATAGTTTTCCATATTAAAAAGACGAGAATTCAGTCTGAATTGACAAATGGTCAAGGTTTGGAAATCGTGAGTAATTTCTCAAGTCGACACACATCTCAATTTTAAAACCATCACATTGTTTCTCATCGATTCTCATCTTTATCTTTTAAAAAAAGTCGTCTCAAAAAAGTCTCAATCCAATATTTCCCAAATTCCTGCCGAGTTTCCAGCGCCCTCGCTCGTCTATCGCCTTGCCAACCGCCCACGCTTTTCTTCCCAAAAAATCAACCGGTGGGATTTTTTCCTCGAGCAGCTCGTCAGTCCTTTCGTTGCTTCCACGGGATAAACTTCGATTTTCTTCCTCTTGTCCTCGACCTAAGTCTTTGATCTACCGTGAACCTAGTTCCCACTAATTTTTTTACATTTCTTTGATTTAATAAAGTACCCCTCTCAGGAATCATGGTAAGTTAGGGGTATTTCCTCAAGGGATGTGTTTTTTAAGGGGGGATGAAATCGGGCCTTGGGAGTTGAGGGGCAATATTGTTCTTGAAGGGCTGTGGCTTCTTTAGGGTTCAGATGCCAATAAGTTTTATAAAATTTGGGGTTCAGTTTAGCAAATTGGTGGGGGGGGGGGTTTAGGGGATTATGGGAAGTTTAGAAATTTTGGGGTTTTTCAGCGAGGAAGTTAGTGTGGGGCCGACCTTTTCCTTGTAGCGAGCTAGCGAGGTCGTTGACTTGGGGATCATTAAATTTTTAGGGAAATGAAAATTTATTTTGTATTTGTATTTTTTTCAGCGTGAGTGTATTTCAATCCATGTCGGCCAAGCTGGTACTCAAATTGGCAATGCTTGTTGGGAATTGTACTGCCTGGAGCATGGGATTCAACCCGACGGTCAGATGCCCTCGGATAAGACTGTAGGAGGTGGTGATGACTCATTCAACACTTTCTTCAGTGAAACAGGAGCAGGGAAACATGTCCCGCGAGCTGTCATGGTGGATTTGGAACCAACCGTTATCGGTGAGTAGTCCTAAAAATATAAAATGGACTTCTATTTAGTTACAAAATTGCATTATATAATGCAATTTGCTATTTTATAGATGAGGTCAGAACCGGAACCTACCGTCAGCTCTTCCACCCAGAACAATTAATTACCGGGAAGGAAGATGCAGCGAACAACTACGCGCGAGGTCATTATACGATCGGAAAGGAGATCGTAGACTTAGTTCTGGACCGAATTCGGAAGTTGGCTGATCAATGTACCGGTCTTCAAGGATTCCTCATTTTCCACTCTTTCGGAGGTGGTACCGGCTCTGGATTTACTTCCCTCTTGATGGAACGTCTCTCTGTCGACTATGGGAAGAAGTCCAAATTGGAGTTTGCCATCTACCCAGCTCCCCAAGTCTCCACCGCCGTCGTCGAACCCTACAACTCTATCCTGACTACCCACACCACTCTGGAGCACTCTGACTGCGCCTTCATGGTTGATAACGAAGCCATTTACGACATCTGCAGAAGGAACTTGGATATTGAACGTCCCACCTACACCAATCTCAACAGGTAATTAATGAAATTCATTAATAGAATTTGTTATTTATGCCAAGATGAATATTGATTTCGTCTTGTGTTAATTTTCAGACTTATTGGACAAATTGTGTCCTCTATCACTGCCTCATTGAGATTCGACGGTGCCCTGAACGTAGATCTTACTGAGTTCCAAACTAACTTGGTGAGTTTACTTAAAGTATTCTTAAATATATCTTCAAGAACTAACTTGTTTACCTCTTCTCCAATAGGTACCCTACCCCAGGATCCATTTCCCTTTGGCCACCTACGCACCAGTTATCTCCGCTGAGAAGGCCTACCACGAGCAGCTCTCTGTCGCCGAAATCACCAATGCCTGTTTCGAGCCAGCCAACCAGATGGTCAAATGTGATCCGCGTCACGGCAAATATATGGCGTGTTGCATGTTATACAGAGGAGATGTCGTCCCTAAAGATGTAAACGCTGCCATTGCCACCATCAAGACGAAGAGAACCATCCAGTTTGTTGATTGGTGCCCTACAGGATTCAAGGTCGGAATCAACTACCAACCCCCCACCGTAGTTCCTGGAGGAGATTTGGCAAAGGTTCAGCGCGCCGTCTGCATGTTGTCCAACACCACCGCCATCGCTGAAGCCTGGGCTCGGCTTGATCATAAGTTTGACTTGATGTAAGTTGTAAAAATAATTAATTATCACAAGAATTAAGAGTAATATTAGCAACTTTTAAATCTGACCCTGATTTGTAATTTGTTTCAGGTACGCCAAGCGCGCCTTTGTCCACTGGTACGTAGGAGAGGGCATGGAGGAAGGCGAGTTCAGTGAGGCTCGTGAAGATTTGGCCGCTCTGGAAAAGGACTACGAAGAAGTTGGTATGGACTCCATTGAGGGCGAGGGAGAAGCCGGCGAAGAATACTAGTAGAATAATTTGTATCTTATTGTCCTGTCTAAATTGTTTTCCGTTATATTCTATCATAAATTCTGTCACATGTGTCATTCCGTGTCTGCATATTACTCACGCCAGTAAATTCACTGAAGAAATAAAATCGTAACGTTGTAATAAGTTTTCCCTTTTCTACTTTATTCTTATTAGTGGTACATCTATAAAACTGAGTTGCCGACATTGCCCGCAAACTTTTAGACTATGTGATAATCTTTCATGTCTCACAAGGGACACTCACGACCTGTCGTTTGAGTCCAGGGTACCCACTATGTTTTTTAGAATCTACTAGGACCCCAGATGAAGGATTCATTCATATTTCCGTGTAAAACTCATATTTGGCGCCAAGGCGTGGCGCCAAACTTAAAAATTTGCATTTTCGACCAATTTCAAACCCCCATAACTTTTGCAGTTTATGTCGGATTTTCAAAATTTTATGCTTAAAATGATCACAAAAGTCGACATTTTTGAGAAAAAAATAAAAATAAAAAATTTCTAATTTTTGAGATATTTTAAGCATTTTTTCGACGAACCTCCATTTGTAAGAAAATTACGAAATTTTGCGAAAAGTTAAAAACTATAATTTTGGGAAAAATTGCATGGAATACGAAAGTTGAACTCCTTGTCATGATTTTTGCCAAAAATTTTTAAAATCCGTCCAGGATTTCAGAAGTTATGGCGGCTTCAAAAATAAAAACATTCAAATTCAGCGAATTTGGCGCCACGGCACGACGCCAAATATGAGTTTTACACGGAAATATGAATGAATCCTTCATCTTGGGTCCCAGTAGATTCTAAAAAACATAGTGGGTACCCTGGACTCAAACGACAGGTCGTGAGTGTCCCTTGTCAGTGATTCTATTCTATTATTATTATTATAAAAGTCATTTGTCTGCATCCAGTTTTTTTTCTGTCAGGTGGCAAGCTGCAGTTTTTTGTCTTGTTCGTTCTCTCACTTGCAATCTTTTTACTACTTTGGTAGAATCCATATTAGACAGAAAGACCAATTGGCATTTATTTTTGTTCACAGCGTCATCATGACAGAACGAAAGAGCATTATTCATCATCGACATCAAAAGTTGAGTGGAGTCACATCATCATTAATTTCTTATTTTTCCTGGTTCATTTTACTACCAGGATGGGAAAAGTCGATGTCAAGTGCAAATTAAAGAGGTAAAAAATTGTCATTGTGCAATTTAAGCGAGACGTAGATTTATCTATGTCTATCCACTTTCTACTTATGTAAACCTTGAACATGAAGAAGACACGACGATAACACTTTCTCTGGACCTTATCATTTCGGAGAAAGTTTGAACATTGCTGAATTCTTATTCTCTTGGCATTTGACATGGATGAAGAGTTCTTTTTTTCTTCTCCGCAACCACACAGCATGACTTTATGAACATTTATAATTAAGACCAACTTTCTCTCTGGCCAACAAGTATTTAGAATCTAGTCGTAGATAGAATATGATGGTGGCATGGCGTAATACGAATAATTGACAGTCTTCTCCATCTTGTCAAATGTGGAGGAAAGTGTAGGAGGTAGAGGTTTGTTGTTCCCATTGTGATGATTTTTTAAAGGATGGCTTCAACTTTTTGTACTCGAAAAACTTGGTGCAAGTGGAAATACGTATACAAATAGTCAGTTATGTAAGTATGTATGTACATAATCCACGTATATTTTACACAGACTGACTGACAACAACACACTTGGGATTGGGAAACGTAAGCCAACTCAACAAAGAAAGAATTCCTTTGATGTAAAAAAAGATGGGCGTATTTATGTCTGTACCGTTGCAGGTGGTCAGGTCCACCGACGAACGAATGCAGTTTGTGAGGAGGAGTAAAGTTGTGATGATGACGCGCCGCGGTCAGACCTTGATTGGAGAGAAGCATCAATCATTTCCGTTCTCGTCGGCCACTTTATTCTCGATCCGATTACAACACATCGCTCACCTGTCTCGTCCTCGTTAAAGAGGAAAAGTTGCGAAATTTGTTGAATTATTGAACACCATAACTTTCTTCATCAAATGCCAGGAGATACTTTGAAGAGTGGGATTTTATAGACAGCAAGTAGCACTGATTCATATCGTAGTTAACTCAGCACTAAAGTTTTTCATGCACCTTTGTTCGTGTTGTGTTTACATTTTTGATGATTAAACTATGTATGCAACGTCTAAACTTGATATTTAATCCGTCATTTCATCTTAAAAATATTTGTTCTTTCTTCACCGGAAACTTTGTATATGCGATGACGCACGTTAAACGTTACTTGTTTTTGGTATCAGAGAGTTGATATGCTACTTTCTAAAGGGAGGAAGCCTAGGTCGAGTTTCCATTCCAATGCACTTAACTCGTGGTTGGTAACTGCCAATATCTGTTTGAAACATTTAGCAGAGGCAATTCTCATTTCAATCGTTTCAATGAACAATCATGTGAAAGTATGGAGAAAATGGATGGATGGAGAGTTGAATTGTCCTATGGTCGATCCCTCCTACTTAAATTTAGGATTATGGATTCGTTGGTTTTTTTGTACTGATGCAGCTGCTTTTCGAAGACCGCAATTATTTCAAATTAGCCTAATAAACAGAAATTGGAAAATTTTCTGTTTCCCAAACGAGGTAAACGACGACGTTCATGATAATTACTTACAAGCTAAATGCATACTTTTAATATCATGCTCTCTCTCTCCCAGGTTAATATTTCATATCGGTAATTTCGAACCCTTTCCCTCTCGTTCACAACTTCTATTCAAATTGTCAATTGTGACAAGGTAATTTGTCAGCCGAACGACTCTATTCGTCTAAATCGAATGTCACGAAAAGTCATGCAACGCTCATAAAAGCAACTTTCTCCACCACAATTATAGTTGGTTGATTGTCCAGTGTCCTCAATTTGGCCGTTCTCCTCGTAATTATTTATTAGTGACATACAAAAAAATTAAAGTTTTACGACAGGATATGAAAACCTTCGTAAGTAAAACCTTCCTTGTCTAGATAGATAATTGTAAACTGGTAATAATAATAAAATAACGAAACACGGAACAAATCCGGTATGACAGGCTTTGTTATCTTACATTAGTAGTCGAATGAACTGAACAACGAACGTTTTCCAAGAAACGAAATCTGATCATAATTAGGTACACCTTCAGGACATCATTATACGCATATTGTGTGTGCACAAGTTTGCTGAAGGAGAAATCCTGCAAACAAAAGGACAGAACATTTACATAAAAGAACATTAGAGATTGGCATTACTTACTTTCACCTTACCAACGACGAAACCCTCACATACTCGTTACTCACTCACAACAATCTCAACTTCCTCCACAAGTTCTTCACAAGAAAAGAGAAAGTTGGGTCAGTTGAGAAGGGTGGATGGATATCCACCAGTCACTCCCAAGTTAGTTGTTAGTTGGGCAGAGTTTTAGTGGGGAAAGTGCGTTCTGTGTTCTCTCTGCCCGCATATCCACCCGAGATTTTACAGAGAAATTCTCTTCAGCTCAGTTGGCTTGTGGCCCGAGTCCGGTCTGCATCAACTTTTCTCTTCTAAATACTTGTGGAAATTTTCATTGCAATTTTCATCCACGCACTTTACACAAAGAGGTACAAATTTTTAGGCAAGGTTTACACCGCTGGGAAAAAGTTTGGAAAAAAAATAAATTAGTAGTTGTTCTTTACCCAATTTAATCGCCCATCTCAACTTCCCCAACTGTTAGTTAAGTACGACGACGACACGGGTTGACACTTCTCGTTGTGATAATCTCTCCAGAGGATAATTTGATAATATTGTTTGTTTTCGCATAAATGAAACCACATCGTTAATTATTATTACTGTCTGCTGTGTGTTCTGTTCTACAAAAACTTTGCCAAATTGGACTAGTTGTTGTCAATGTGAAATTAAGTCTGTCAGGTACATACGTAAGGTAGACTATTATTATTCCGAGCCACATACGCCCGCATCCGTCGTCATAACCATCATTATCATATGGCCCAGAGGAGCAAGAGAAACTAGACGACTTAATTAACTCTAAATGTGTTAATGACTCGATTTGATTCGGAGAATTTAAACCTTTCCAAGAACTTGTCAGCACGGAGGCTTCGGCAGCGTCGTAATTTCTGCAAGACGAGAGACAACAACCAACCAAAGGCCTCTTCTGGTAAGTCATTTATTTCTTATCCCACCTTGGGCTGTCTAAGCAGTTAAGCAGCTTACCAAACGTATCTTAAACCTTTACGTACACAGGAAGACTTTCTCGAAAAATATAGCGAGATTCAGTATGTGTATCTATTTACTTATGGCTCAATTATGACCCCAAAAACGAAAAGTGTTTCTTGGTCCGTGAGTAAAAAAGGCTTGTAATTTAACGCCTTTCCCCAGAATAATACTGTAGAGAAAGTCGAAGACTGTCATACAAACAGTGTGTCGTCTTCGGATTGCATAAAGCTAACACTCTTGCATAACGAGATGGTCTCACTTGTCCCATTCTAATCTGTAATTGGATCAGGGTAGGCAAATAACAAGCAATTATTATGTGGACAACGCATTTTTTATAAAGTTTTTTATCCGCAGTGCCATTCTTGAGCTATCGTGATCTCCTTCCTCCTGCACTATTTACTTGGGAAAGGACGACTTTTTAGAACAAAAAATCTCTTTCAGCATGAGAAAAAAGTAATCATCTAATCACTCGCATCCATCTTCCTTCTCGTCGTCTTCTTCCTCATGCGTTCAACGCAAAAGCTTCAAGTGGTGGTCCATATCAGGCAAAAAGTTAGCATTGAGTAATGGGCAGAAATCTAATTAACTAATTTATTTAATCGGAAATCTTGAAGTTATCTTATCCCTATGTTCGATATCAACGGCACGCTGTGGAGGAGAAAGTTGGTTGCATAGCTATCTCCTCGGCAGGAATGATGATATATTATGCGTCGATATCAGATTTTTTTGTTCCAGAGCTTTCACTTTTCCACTGATGATTAATTGATCACGATTTTCATCTGAGCTATTGAATTATTATAATATGGTGGTTGGTTGGTGTGTAAGTAAACTGGAGTAACGACGCTGAGAGAGAATTTATGATATGCACTTCATCGCTGTAGATAGGAAGACATAATAATCATTAGTTTTCAAACAATTCGCATTCCAATCAATCTTTTGGCAACATCAGATTGCAAACTATAAAGGGAACATTATTGTAACGAAATCCGGTACGGTACGTGTCTTTATAATGGGCAGATCGAGTTTTTAACACTTCTATGCCATACAATATTCGAATTTTGTCGAAATCGCTTGATTTCTTTGGCCTGGCTTGACGCTTGACTAATTCTAATTCAAGATCAAAAAAGTTTACCCTGGCTGAGCAAACGCACGTACACACACGTACACACACACACACAAATAGGGAAAAAGTCAGAGAATATTTCAATTTCGACATCCCTTTATTAAACTCGAGGAAGAGGAAGCCACTCAGCAAAAGTCTTTCTTTCTTTACATACAATCTTTTTCTCAAATGAAATTGAAACTTGTGTGGAAACTTTCTCTTTTCTTCCTTCTTCTTCTTCTTTTGCCAATGTTATTCTCGCTTTCAATTACAGTTTGTTATTCGCCTTTTCAAATTCCAGCAATCATCCAACTTTTAAATTTGATTGGCAACCTTGCAGATTATATTTTATTCTCTCACTTTGAATTTGAAGTTGGCAAGATTGTGTGGCTACGTTTGATGATCCAATTTTTGAATAGTGCAGTTCATAAGAGGGTTAAATCAAGGAAGTTTAAAATCAAGGTTGCCAGATTACTGTCTGACATTTTCGTCTCAATCTCAACCTTATGCAATGAATAGGTTTACTTATTTAACGTCAAATTATGATGATGTCTTACATAATCATTTGCAAAGGAATTAAGGAAGAGAAAATTAAATTGGGAAGGAAATAGTTGGGTAGGATTGGTTTCTTAAGAATGCGGAGGCAGGATGGCCAGGATTCCTAATCAGATGATATGAACGCCGCCACGTACGAGGTCATTTTATTTAATTCCTTATCTAACAACCTATTTGATTTGTGGAATTAATTCGATCCGGGGATGGAATTCATTCGTTTAGGCGACTATATTTGAACCTGATATTACCTGTGTTGGAAAAGTGATATGATTACATTTATAATTGGATTTTACTCGGTTATTATGTGACATTGTGGTTGAGGAGGACTAGCACACATACAGAACAACTTAATCAGGAAGGATATGAAGGGGATCAGACTCCAATAGATCAAATATCTCAAAGATTTGCAATGAAATGCTTCTCAATTCCGAGAAATCATTGAAAAAGGAAATTGGCTAGGCCAAGCAATACAACTACCTTTCAGAACCTGCGAAATTGACACTGGGTTTCGTCACAAAGTCGCAAAAAGTCATCTACCCACTTTTGCAATCTTATTGGTTAGTTGGTACACATTGGATGCGTGGGTTGACATTGCTTTGAGATTACCGTTTCAAAGATTTAGATTGATTACGACGCGATCCCAAATTAGCTCAAAGGAATAACATGTTTTTTTTCTGGAAATGGCGATGTTAGTGGAGAAAAAAATCGATAAAATCGGCAGGCACGGGCGGAAGTAAAATAAAAAACACATCCGCATTTTTGTCAAGTGTGTATTTTTTCGAGAATATCTTTTTGATCGGTCAAGATTCCACTTTCACTCGCTACATCTACAGATAGTCCGACGTAGTGCAGAATATAGATGACAAACTTGGGTTCAAGGTCGTAAAGATCAAATCAAGCAGAGTATGCACCCTTGAATTTTTTCGTGGGGAGGAAAGTGGAGTGCTCTCAACTCTATGGATCAAAATTTAATCTAACCTTTTTCCTCCTGTTATCAAACAAACGTGTACAGTAGTAGTTTTTTGCTAGCTTGAAATGTTGATCGCTCCATCAGTCAGTTGGATTGATGTACATGTTGGAGATCAATCTTGTTGAAACATTCAGAGAAACGTTTCAGGTTGTGGTCAATAATTTGAGTTGGTTGGATGATGGACTAATTCGAATTTCATTGCTCAAAACTGAAAATAATTGTTTGCACTTACATTTCAATTTGGAAGGTAAATAGTGAAGGAATTGAATTTCATTTTAGAATTAATTGGTTTACATACTGAACTCGTGGGCGCTTTTGGTGAGGTAAAATTTCCTGGAATTTGTCATCAAATAAAATGTCGTCAACGAGTTCAGGTATATAATGTGTAGTAAATATTTGGTGTGGTTACTGCGTAGATACATAAATACATTATACGTACGAATTTGTACGAGTTCCGGATAACGGGGTCCAATTATACTCAGTCAGTCACTTTTATTTGCTCAGTACCCTATATGTCCTTCATACCTAGTGGTATGCAGACCTTGCATTTCAACCTGTTTTCTGGAAATTTTGGCAAGCAAGACTGGTATGAATGATGATCAAAGATTTTAATAATTACGATCCATCACACAGTAATTATCAGATTGACAGATATTTCAACCAAACTGATAAGCAGTGCGTTCAAAGGTCCAGTCCAGCATGACCCCCTTAATTGGCAAACTTACAAACGAACATTTCGAAAGTAAATATCCTGGATTCTATTGCGTGTGTTTTCAATTATGTATTGAACAGTGACACGATACACCTTTCATTGACAGTCACATAAGCATATACCACGTTATGAATTGCGGTTTGAAACGATTTTTATGTCTTGGTGGGCTTTTCCGTGAAAATTGTGAATAATTGAAGTGTGCAGAGATAAAAGCTTTGATATTTTGCTACAAAATATGACAAGAATGAGACTAATTGATTTGGGTGATAGACCACGCGTCGAATTTTTTTAGTTCACCTTCACATCAACAACCTTTGTCACGATATCATTCTCGAGTCGAGTCGTCTTGATCGGTCACATAACAAAAGATACTTTTTGGTTATATGATTTTTCCATCAGTCACGAAATGACTTCCTTTTGTGAAAGTTTTATTTACGAAAAAGTAATAAAACTACAAAATGTTTTCAACAACTTTTTCCAACTTTTCGAGTTTCGAAATTGACGTTTCAACGAAAGTCACGATATTAAAAAAAAACATTCGGGAACCTAAATTATTTTGAGATTGTATAAAAGTCAATTCCGTTTTTATGATGGTGGAGAATGAAAGTAGTTAAACCTTAATCAACGTGTGATAAAATTTTACAATCGCTCTCTTGTTCTCTAGATTTCCAGGTAGGAAGAGGTCTGCCTGAGTAAACAACTTTGGCAGTCAGTATGTCATAGTTTTTAATAAAAGTCGTCGTTTCCTTATTCTTACGACCTCCTCGTTAAAAATTCACCCGGTTCGACATTTCCTAGAACTAAGAGCGGTGGTTGTGATGGTCGTGGTCATATCGTTCACTATCGCATCGGTATCATCATTTAGTAGGGAAGACGGAGGTATAAGTTTTTCCAATTTTAGTACCAACAGCCACTACGCCTGCCTTACTTTATCAAGGGTTAAGCGAATTTTACGACTTTCATCATTCTTTTCTCTTGTCTATGGCTTTCCAGTTGAATTCCATTAGCTTTTCGTGGTGGCCGAGACACTTTGGAGAGGGTCGTGGTTTGCAAAAGTGCCAAAGCCGCAGTATTGAAAGGATTGTTGTCTTGCCAAATCATCCCGATATAATTCACTCATGCTTAATTCTTTATTTTCCTGGGAATAAAGGAGTAGCATTTCTATACGAGCCAAGCCACCCAGCTATTAAAGTCTTGTCTGAAGAAAGCGAAATCACGGTGTACTTTAAAGAAGAATTATTGGCAGATTGATTATGACGAAGGCGAAGAAGAAGATGCAATCGGAATGCCGGAACCTTATCCTCCGGTTAGATGATGGTTTCTCATCCCTCTGATAAGTGCATTGCGATAAGTTCAAATGTACTAATGCTTGCAGACTTCTTGCACGCTATCTCATTTCCCAGCATGTTCGATCTCGAAATAATTAAGTTCATGCAAATACCCAACGGACGTCTCATATTTTCCGCATTGCAATTTGAATCACGTTTAAATTACTCCGTGATTGAACTCATTTGAAGAAAATAATTTTTGGTTGTGCATTCACATAGGAGCAGGAAATCGCATAAATAATTCCTGCGATTCGCTTATCTGATATTTTCATGG